AATATATTTATTTATTTAAAGTAACTAATGTTTTAATCATATACTCTACGACACTGGTCACTCATTTCCACTCAAAATACCTACATAATCGGATTAAAAGTTTTATAGCTGTATTGTATTTCTTCAGATACAAGGTGGGTTAGTCGAAAACATCTTAAACTGCCAGTTTTAGTTTGGTTTTTGTTATTATATCATATTAGCTGTCCTCTCTGTATTTCAGTTCTCTAATGAGGGTCAAACTTGCAGTGAGCTATCAACAAATTATGAACGGACTATAGCACGGTGTACTATTCGATTGCCACATCGAAAATTGGCAATACCTCAAAGAAATAACGCCCAATCATTGGGTAGAGAGGCAAGGATCCATGGAATGGCCAGCACAAAACCCTGATCTAACGTTATTAGATTTTTTCAGAAGTCAAAAGTATTGTATGCAAAAGTAAACTCCTCGACTAAGTGGTCTCAAGACTATTTCGGACAGGCCTGATATGATATGCGGAGTCATGTTGGAAAAAATCTATATTCTAGATTAGAATATTGCGCTTACTGCGCAACCTCTGCGGCAGGCAACAAGCGATGCAATTGAACCCAGGTTTGTGTTTAATAAACCCTACAAAATACAAATTAAGCAGAACATAGAGTCAGATGATACAAATGCAATACGGATTTATACAGATGGCTCAAAAACCAAAGAAGGTTCAGGATGTGGAGTGTACTCCAGATCACTAAGCCTAAGGATCAAANGTAAATCAATAACTTTGTCAACATTTTGTGGCATTATTAAAAGGGATTGAACAATTTTTTTGGCATTTCCTTTTAGGCACTTCTGTAGTCTAGATTGATTTTCCTCGTTTGAAAATCCACAAATAGCGTTAGAATTATTATAATGATAAATAAAATTGGGCCATTCACTTGGATTTCCGTCAAAAATGGGAAGTTCTCGTGGCAGAGATTGCCTTGTTAATATTTTTGTCATCTGAGGAAGAGTCATTTGATACATATTGTTATGAAAGAAAGGGGTAGAATACTTTTCCGGACTATTTTTAGAATGAGAATCTCTTACCAATTCATCTTCTTTTACCATAAATATCGAATGCTTATCCTCACCGTCATGCCCGTTTGTCCATGGAGTTTTACCGTCGATCCAATCTTCCACGTTAGGCTTTTGGGACTGATGCATTGACATTGACTCACTTTCATCACTATTCTCTTCAATTTCTGCTACTTTCAGGGCTAGTTCTAGATCTATAAGCTCTTTTTCTAATGTTTTCTTCTTTATTGCCGTTTCGATTTCCAATTTCTTCAGTCTTGAAGCTTGACTACTCCTACTGCTTCCTTTTAGTTTGGAAGGAGATTTTCTGATTGCTCCTTGACCTTCAACTGCTGTCACGACTACATCAGATTTAGCCTCTAGCTTCTCTTTCTTTTCTTTCAATCTTTGACTGTACCTCAGGTTTTGAACAGATTTGCTTGCATTCATGCTATCCATGGGGTTGTTTCTTTGCATATCTCGAAGGACCATATGTTTTTGAATTACCTGCAAATTATTATTTATTTCGGGTCGAAGAATGAAATTTTATATTCTTTTAGAAAAGTCAGACGTCTTTTAAAAACTTTACTTTTTTTTTTCAACAACTTATATTTTCACATCAACCTTGATCACTACTAACAAATGTCAACTAAAAACGATATACAGGGTGTAATCAGATAAAATGATAAATCTATAACATGGGGCTGGTGGACACACCTCTGTGCAGGATGTGTGAACAGGAAGATGAGACTGTCCTGTGCGAGTGCCCGAAGTTATCGTCAATAAGAGAATGTGTGTTCGGCGAGTCTTGGCCTACACCTGCCGATTTAAAGGAGATGTCTCCTAATGACCTGTCCACCTTCCTGGAAAGGGCAGGATGGACGATAACCTAGGAAGACAATTCCTCGGGAGGATATACAATGGGTCACATGTCGCCAAAATGCTGTGGGCTTACACTCACCCTCCCTACTCTACAGGTACAGATTGCCAAGTTGATTGCGGCGAACATTTCCATATCATGCATTGAAATTAAAGCATTTCTTGATTTTCTCATTATCAATAAAAAAACACTTAATAATAAGTACTTCATAAGTGTATTTGTAATAAATTTTTGGTAATCTAATATTGCTTAAATGGTATTTTTTGTCATAAAAAACACATAATATTTATTGTCGAGACGAACACAGCGTTTATCAACAACAAAATGTATTAACAACAACACAACACAACAACAAACAAAACACGAGAAAGAAAATTACAGGGCAACCTCGAGAAACTAACGCTAAGTTTTTTCTCGATCAGCGAGGAGAGTAGTTTAGTTCTCGGCGGAAATCTCATAACAGAATGAATGAATCGGCTAAGAAATGTGTTCGAAGTAACTTTCTCACTGACTAACTAACTAACTGACGATGGTCGGGGTCATAAATTTAGTCGAAAAGAGTCAACCACTTGTGCCCGAATTCCTTGTCTTAATCCCTAAGATATTAACAATGGGTACCTACTCGATACATCCCAAGTGGTGTCTGTCGTTCTAAATATACATCTGTTTTTCGCCAATAAACTTTCATTTCGAGAGAAGAGAGCATTTGATATGTGATGAGAAAATACAAAATTGATAAGTAAAAGTTAAAATAAAAGAATTAACATAAAAACCCAAGCAGATGGATATTTTGGACGACTGTTCGATATTGCAGTTATAAACTACGGTACATAGAGAGACGTGAAAGTTGCTATTGTGTTTTTTTTTCCACTCAGTCAACTAATTTCCAGGGCCGTAATTTAAAAGGAAATAATTGACACAATTATAGTTAAATATTGCCGAAATATCGCGAAATATAAAATTTAATTCAATTTCTTAGTATGAAGTGAACGTCGACGATACAAGAACTACAACAAAAAATACAGGTCCCTATTTAAAAATTCAAAGATGGGGGTGCCCAAGTCAGATGACACCCTGTATAAAAGATTCATGACATATTCTGATAGTCCACATCAAGTGCCAATAGCAAAATGTGGACAGATTTTCAATATGTCTGCGAATAAAGAAGATATAGGCAAAAAAATAATTTGGGATTTTTTGGGTTTTCCTGTATATCTCCAGAACCAAAAAAGCTATATTCGATTAATTCACATCATTGAATAGGTCTCTAAAATACGCAATTTTGCCATAATTTAACCGACACTCTATCTTTTATCGTTTACGAGATCCCTATGTACAGAAACGAATTTGAATAACCCTATATATATAATTATTTGCATTGTGAATTTATATATTTTAGTTCAATTGACTTTTTCCATGCTGTAGAGTCTCTTGAAATGAACTGATGACTAAGTTTCAGTCTCATCCTTTATAACTCTCGGAATTTTCGAGTTATCTCTTTTGTTCTGCATGAAATTCCAAAATGCACTTGGGTCTTTATTAATTTTGCGTTAACTTTCGTTAAGGAATTTTTTATAAGCATTGTTTATTTGTTCTTTCACTTCACTTCTCAACGCGATAAATTGCTGCTGATAAAAAGGTATTTTATATTTTGTCAGATTTTTGTGAGCCCGTTCTTTCTTATAAATGTTTTCAATTATATTTCGTGTGAACCAGGGCGGGTATCTACAGGACGATCAATTTTCAGGGGGACGGGTACATCAAAAACACCATACAGCGTACTGTTTAGGTTTAGATGATAGCCTGCGTCATTAATATTGGTTTGTTTTAAAATATGGGACCAATCTATATGAGAAATGGGTTGATACATCAGAGGGAAATTTGCTTTTCTGAAGTTGTAACTTTTTGAGATGTCATAGGTTTTCGAAAAATTATTGAAATGATTTGTGAGGTTCTGATTTCAAACAACAAAAAAGGGTGATGACTATAAAGTTTTAGAACTAGATTATAATAGATTTTGAAATGTGACGTCACAAAATTTACTACCCCTCCCACCCCCTTGGCACACAATCTCAAGGGGCGTCCACACTACGACATAGGCGACAGTTGCCTCGTACACATAATATTGCTGTGTACACGTATTTCATCAGTCGACTATGAGTAGTTGAGTGAGAAGAGAGTGAGTGAGAAATATTCTAAAATAAATTATATTTAGTGAAACAAGCAAAACAAAAACAAAATGAGTGATGAAGATGTTCTTATTGTTGCTGCAATTGCCATATTTATGTCCGCGCTTGTAAACCAACATGTACATTGTACCAGAAGGTTTTGGATTCGACCTAGCCTTGTTAATGGAAAAAAAGTACAGTACAACTGAGTTTATAACGGATTTATTATTGGATGAAGTAGATCCGTTAAATTTAGAATACAGGTTTCCACAAAACTAAGTATCAAAAACTTTGTTGACACGTTCTACACGTCCACACTTGGCAATTATTTTCATTCGACTGTTAGAAAAATCCATTTCATTTGAATTACATTCGACTCAACATTTGTCGATCGATTTAGTCGATCGACATGTCCACACTACGTCGACTGTGTCTTTCGGCACATTCGACATAGTGTGGACGCGCCTTCAGAAGTCGCCGACCCCCTCCCTCTCCCTTAACGTGTGGCGTAATTTATGGATGGCCCCTTCTTATACATTTCGAATTCTTTCAAAACATTAAATTTTGTTAAAATTTCACACAATTGAATTGAAAAAACAGAGGAAAAAACCGCAAAACTGTATTTTGTAACAACTATATATAAAATACCATCATTTTCACAAACATTGCAAAATCTAGGCAAGTGTAAAGCCATTTCTGTTATCCTGACGTAAAACCGTATTTAGGTAACTGATATATAAGGCGAATGAGGAATACGTCTTCGAATAATTTTCCAATCCAAATGATTACCTAACAGTTCAAACAACCCTCTTCGTATTCCCTCAGGGGGTAACGCGACCACCGTTACCCCACCGACAATGTCCATTGTTCAATTCGGAACAAATAGCTCGACCAACTCGCCTATTAGTCCAGTCAATATAGACATTTTCATTCACAATGATTCGCGTACAACTGAAAATTGGTACAGGTCTCAAATATACTGTAATGAATGAATTATCAAAAGTCAACACCGAATCTCATGACCAAATTATTGATTGTCAAAAGTCAGAATTAGCGTTTTTTGCATTTTTTTCGTTACCAGCAATTGCTATCTTTAAAATAGATCAGATGAAAGTTGTAGAACATGCAGTTGTCTACAAAAATTGTTTCTATCACCTTTTTCTAGTAATCGTCATTGTTGGGATATCACCATTTAAATATTATTTTACATACAGTTAATATATTCTGTGCCCTGCATTTGGAAATCGGAAACATAGATAGAGATACAAATCCAGTTGAATTAGAGAAAAGCTGCCCATCACAGGGCTTTTCTTCAAAATATGTCTTTAAATTTAGGAAATTCCAATTAGTTTTGGAGATACCCGAAAAGAACTGAAATTTGCCAACTGCGATTAAATATGTCCTGGCGTTTCAAAAAGATATTGAATAATGGAAAAACAGTTTCTCATTGACACATTTCATGTTGTATAAAATGGTTTGACGTTTCGTCCCCGAAAAAAATCACCAATTTTAATGTTTATATGAACCGAAATCACCCGACATATAACCTTTTTGGCAAGAACTTTACTGATGTATCACCATAATCGTTCAATTAGTGAATTTTAAAACGTTCTGGTTTCCAATGTTTCCAAACTGGCTCTACTTATCTTGGACATATTGTAAACATTGCATTTCATGGGTGAGCCACAGGATATAATATTTCTGAACAGTTTTTGTAGATCTACACCATCTACAACTTTTATCCGACCTATTTTTGCGATAAATTTACCATTATTGAGAAAAAACAAAATACAGATATTTTTGACATTTGATCTTCAATAATATTTTCAGCACTCACAAGTACAATCAAAACTTTTGATATTCCATTAATGATAGTGTGATTTAGGTCTGTGTCAATTTTCAGCTTCATGTGAGTTATTATAAACGGAAATGTTTATTTCTACTGGACTATACCCCGACCGACTCGCCTCATCGTGAAATCTGGGGAGTTTGCGTTCGGCACCGTATCAAGTTGGCTGCACTGCAGCCATTTACTGAGTTCGCATATCCTCCGACAGAAGGCGCGGGCGCGTCGCGACATTTTACATGGTTATTGACTGACTGGTGCCGTGCCGTTGTAAATATTGTTTTTTCGGTGTGTTGAAAGTCGTGTGTGTTTTCAAGTGTATGGTGCGAGTGCCGAACGGTGAGTGTGACCGTGTACGATGTCCAGAAAACCAGCGGGTTGATGGAAACCTTCGCGAACAGGGTGAAAAATCCGCCATAGGTCGAGTAGCCTGTGGTAAATGCTTGCTATGTCGGCAAAGGGCCTCCCTAAAGGCGGCTGTAATGTCTGAGCCATGGATGTCGAAGTGAAACAGAGAAACCGCCGAAGAAAACGCGCTCAGCGTATGCAGGCACAACGCGAGATCAACAAAGCTGACCATCTCGATGGGGACAGCGGAGACGAAGATGTCATTCCGGCGAAGCCCCCGAGGCCCCCCAATCGACGAAAAAAGGCCAAGGAGCCCCTCTGCGAGGAGGACATTATCGACGGCTTCTCGGTGCTGC